AGGGGAGTCTGCACACCATCTCAGCTCACTCTCAGACCCCTGGAGTGTCGGCCATTGTGAGTGGGGTGCGGCGTCGCCCCTGTTCTCTCTGAACCTCACTGTCTCTGTAGGAGACTTCCAGAGAAGAGCTTCACTATACCACCGTGATGTTCAGTGCCGAGGACCAGGCCTTGCAGGCCTACAGGAGGCCCCCCGAGACGACCTCAGAGCCGGAGCTGGAGTACAGCGTGATTCGGAAGACCTAGGTTACCCACACCTGCTACCCGGGACCCACAGGGCCGCCCCACACCCACCCCCCAGAACCAACAGGGCCCCTTGCCCCAGAGCTCCGGGTCTCACGGAAGACAAGCAGGTGGCAGCTCTGGAAGGAACTGTGGGGTCACTGGCTCTGGGCGTCTTTTCTCTCTTCTCTGCTTGGTCCCAGAGTGGAGAGCAGAGCAGGGTGGGGGTGGGTCACAGTGCTTGAGTTCCACATGTTTCCAGAGAAAGGTACAGTGAACAGGGAAGTGCCCTCGGTTAACTGTGCGACCATGCCTGTGGAAGATCTGGAATGCTGGGAGAGGGGAGAAACTTCAGAACCAGGAGCTTGAAGGACTATGGGCCGGACAGGGTGCCCACAGCCGGAGCACCAAGGCCTGTGCACTCAGGATCCTTTTGCAACAGGAGCCTTTAAATAAAGTTTAAAGCTGGAGCAGGAAAATGTCACTCGGGCAACAGCTGCTTCCTGTTCCGGCCCTCAAGTAAGGGAAGGGCCTGACTTCTGTCCCCAGGGAACAGGGAAGCATGCTAGGCCCACGGGGACATCCTGAGAGAGGTGTCACCAATGAGCTACACTGTTGTGGCTGCCTCTCCCTGTGCTGGCACACCATGGACTCTTTTCTGCAGATGGCAAGCCTGATGCCATGGTTGCCATCACCTCTCTTCTCTCTGCTGTCCTGGACATTGTTCCAGCTCTTAACGAGGTTGGACCTGTTTGGGGTAAATGACAGTTCCAAGTGCTCCCAAAGGTGGGAGAGATGCTGATCTCAGTGCTTTTGATTATTTATGCCAGACTGGGTTCTCCAAAACCCTTCCTCTCTTGTCTTTTATTAAAATTTTTTTTTAAAATCCAACTTGTTTTGTTTTGGGGCCACACTAGCAGTGCTTAGGGTTCACTCCTCGTTCTTCATTCAGAGATCACTCTGGCAGTGCTCACTGGACTCTTGCGTTACCGGAGATGGAACCCAAGTCAACTGTGTGCAAGGCCAACCCCTGCCCGCTGTGCTATTGCTCCAGCCCGTGAGCCCAAGTCCTTGAGAAAAGCGCCACCCTACTGCATAGCATCTTTCATGAAGGGAGCAGTCACTGACCAGCAGAGATGCTCAAGCCCTGGAGATTTATTTGTGGGGGGGGCTGCGGTGCCTCTCCAGTTTCACCTATGCGGGAGTTTCCTGGGTAGCAGAAGGTCACCTGACTGTGGACAAGCTTCCCGTCCCTGCAGCCAGGCTGTCTCCAGAAGGGCCCCTCAGTCTATCATCAAATACTCCACCAGGGTACAGACAGTTCTTGAAATCTCTGTGCAGACATCCGGGTCTCCTGAGACTCAGCCTCCATGCCCCAAATCTAGAACCGGGGACTGGAGCAACAGCACAGTGGAATGGGTGTTTGCCTTGTATGCGGCCAACTTGGGTTACATCCCTGGCATCCCAGATAGTCTCCTGAGCACCGCAAGATGTCATTCCTGAGTGCAGAGCCAGGAGTAATCCCTGAGCATCACTGGGTGTGACCCAAAAAGAAAAACAAACAAACAAAAAAAGCCAAAAGCTAGAACCGCCATCCTGCCTGATGCCCTCCCCTTGCCTTTGGACCAGTCATGCCCTCACCCTTCAGTGATTGGTCAAAGGTTGGGCATCTGAATCTGAGGCAGCCAATGAGGCGCAGGGCAGGTCTGGTGGGCAGGGCTCGGAAAACTCATGGGAGGAGGATGCTCTTCCTGTGTAGCTCAGATGTGGCTGTGACTACTGGAGGTGACCAGAGAGTGTCAAGGCCGCGAGCAAAGGGCAGGAAGGAACCTGCACCGTTCTACCCCAACGACACCCTGAAGACCCAGCGAAACCCCTAAACATACAAAATGAAGAGACTGCTGCCAAACCAGAGAGAAAGTTGGGGTTACTCAGAGGCCGTAGCGTGCTAGCCAAACACAGAGTTTCGGGGAGAAACACATTTCCCAGTTTTGAAAGTGAGACGCAGAAGCTGAGCCACCTGTGAAAAGTAGCAGAACTGGGGCCAGAGAGGGAACTCAACAGGCTGAACACGGGGTTCACCTGTGGGAGCCCCGGGCGTGATCCCCAACATCACCTGGTCCCGAGCACCGCCGGAAGTGCCCCCACACTGGAAAAAGCAAAGAGCAGCAAAGTTAAATTACCTAAACCCCTCCTGTGGGCTGGAGCGATAGCACAGCGGGTAGGGCGTTTGCCTTGCACGCGGCTGACCTGGGTTCGATTCTTCTGTCCCTCTCGGAGAGCCCAGCAAGCTACTGAGAGTATCCTGCCCGCATGGCAGAGCCTGGAAAGCTTCCCGTGGCGTACTGATATGCCAAAAATAGTAGCAACAAGTCTTACAATGGAGACGTCACTGGTACCCGCTTGAGCAAATCGATGGACAAGGGAGAGCAGTGCTACATCCCCCTGCAGAGGGTAGAGGGCAAGGTGGGAATTGCGTGCTTGGGGCCACGGGAGAGGATTTGGAAAACAATAATGAAAAGGCAAGAGAAATCACTCAGCCGTAGGACATAGGTCTCCCCTAATAAAGGCTCAGCAACTTAATAATGATGATGATAATATAATGATAGTGATGTTATGGTCAGAATAACAATAACGGTTTTAATGATAAGGGTGGAGAATGATCTCAGCATGGTTGTGGCTGGTTCTGGAGGTCTTCCGCTGCCGGAGCTCTGCTCGGGGCAGGGAGGGAAACTCAACCTGCCCCCCTCCAAAGGGCCCTGGCGAGGACAGCCAGGTGTGGGGGCAGGAGACTGCTGCTTCCCAGGGGCTGAGATCTCCAAGCCTGCTCGGATCGGGGCTGAGCATCCTCCACCCAGATCCTCTATCTTCCAGTAGGCAGGGGTCACACCCACCAACTGGCCCCCTGGCACCACGTAATCCCATCAATGGCCAAGACTATAAAACCCAGCTCCTGGAAGCGCGCAGCTGCATGGCATATTATTTCAGTTTTACTTTGGACAACCTGGCAGGCTACCGAATGTAACCTGCCCACACGGCAGAGTCTGGCAAACTCCCCGTGGCGTACCCAATATACCAAATGCCAGTAACAATGATGGGTCTCATTCTCCTAATCCTGAAAGAGCCTTGAATATGGCACTTTTTAAAAAATCTCAGGGCTAGGACGAAGGAGACGTTACTGGGGCCTGCTCGAGGCAATCGACGAACAACAGGATGATCGTGATCCATAAGGGTAATAATTCGATAGTATTAATAATGATGGAGATAATGTGACAGTAATGTCTATCTCTAAATTGGAGTGTCAGGGAGTCAGGGGAGATAACACAGCGGGGAGGGCACTAGCCTTGCATGGGCTGACCTGGGTTCATTCCCCAGCACCCCATATGGTACCCTAAGCCCCACCAGGAGTCATCCCTAAGCAAAAAAAGCCAGGAAGAAGCCCTGAGTACTGATGGGTATGGCCCCAAAGCCCAAAATAAACAAACAAATTCTGGCGGGCAGATGAACAGGAACCAGCAATCACATAATCTCAACCACAAACTTAACTGTGAGGATGGGGCTTGACACTCCCTTCCCACCTGGTGAGGAAGCCAAACCTCCATCAACAGGATGCTGCTAGAAGCCAGAGCCATAGCACAGCGGGGAGGGCACTCGCCTTGCATGTGGCTGACTCAGGTTCAATCCCATGAGATCCCTGAGCACAGAGCCAGAAATAACCCCTGAGCACTGCTGGATGTGGCCCAAAATCCAAAAGGAACATTTATAAAACAAAACAAAATTGTCCTGCTAGTCTCAGCCTTTGATGCCAGAAGCCCTTTTTGTGTACGGCTAAGTGTGGCTCTAGGGGGACACTCCAGGCCTGGGGCAAACATGGTGTGGGACTGGGAAGCAGCTGAAGCGGAGGGAGGCCTGTGTTCCTGGGACCTGAGGAAGTGACGCTGAACTGGTTACCAATGATAATATTTATTATTAATTATTACTCACATGATAACAGGACAGGATCCATGATAATGTCATAATTCTATTATACAATTTTAATGATATTTGCATCAGCAATAAAACAATGACAACCATTCCATGTAATGCTATGGATTTCTGTTGGCTTTTTTTTTTGAGGGGGAGACTTTAGGGTACACCCTGCTGACATCTTCAGAACCGCTCCAACTTGCTGGGAAGAAGATGACTGAAGCGGCAGAGTTGGACGTGCCCACATTGTGTGTGTGCATGTGTGTGTGTATGTGTGTGTGTGTGTGTGCGCGCGCGCGCACATGCGTGTCTCAGGAATGGTGGGGAGCAGGGTTGGGTGGGTTACCTTACTGTCCACCTCTGTCTCTGCCTATCTCTATCTCTCCCTGTCTCAGTCTGTCTTTATCCTCTCTCTCTCTCTCTCCCTGTTGTTTTTCTGCCGCTCACCCTGTTTCTCTCTCTGTCTCTACCTTTCTGTTGTCTCTCTGTCTCTCACTTTGTCTATCTCCCCATTTCGCTCTCTGTTTCTATCTCTGCTTCTCCCCCGTCTTTCTTATCTCTGTCTGTCTCCAAATCTCTCCCCGTCTCTGTCTGTCTGCCCCACGGGGCTACTCTGCCAGCCCTAGTCCCTGGCCTGAGTTCCCAGCTTTAGGGTCACCCGGCTGCAGCTGGAGCCCCAGGGTGGGGTGAGATTGCACTGCAGGTGCCCTGGAGGTGATGAGGGTCTTCAGATCCTGTTCAGTCTCTCTCCTCCCCCAGTCCTGTCGCCGTGTCCCTCGGGGGTTTCTCATCCATTTGGGAGCCAGGCGGGGTCTACACATTCATGTAGAGAGGCTCCTCGCACTGCTCCTGGGGCGTCCCCCGGGGTGCCTTCATCCAGAGGACGGCGCCCAACAGCAGCAGCAGGATGGGCACCTTCAGGAAGCCCAGGAGCAGGTAGTGGGTCCTGCGGGGTCAGGCAGAGTGGTCAGAGCCAGCAGCCACCACTGACCCCTCCAGGAACCTGCCTCGCGGCGCAGTCACAGGGCTCCCCAGAGGCCCCTCAGCTGTGGCTTGGCTTTGCATCCGATGCAAATGTTTTGGTTTTGGTTCGGGGGCCACTCACGGCAGTGCTCGGGGGACCACATGGGGTGCCGGGTATTGAAACTACAAACGCTTACAAGGCAAACTCTCACCCACCCCCTGCCTTGCACTGGGGACCCCCTCCTGTCCAGTGGCCACTACTGGATGATACCCTTCACCCCAAGGCCCCTTAGCTGGCCACCAGTTTGCTTCCCATACTCGGCCACCTCCCCTGGGCCCCGAGAGGACAGATGGCGCCGGGCGAGACAAGGGCAGGGTGGGCAGGAGCTGCTGCAGAGGAGGGACAGGGGCAGGGCGGGTCTCCATGGATTCAGGCACAGCGCAGGGGGTCCCCGACTCAGCTGCCCCGAGGAGAGACCCGGCCCTCAGTCACTCACCGGGTGGACACGCCTGAGGTGGTTGCTCTGGGAGAGTCGGTCGCTGTGGAGTGCAGGCGCCTGTTATGCTTTGGGATGTGGGTGGCCACTGTGTGGAGAGCAGACACAGGCTGGGGTTCATGTTCGGCCTCTGTCACTCACTCACCCCCACCCGACACCTCCCGCTCCTGGATCAGGATGCTTCTGCCTTCAGATACGCCCCTGCCCGTCAGACAAGCCCCTGCCCCTCAGACACGTGGTTTTCTTCTTTGGCAGGGTGGTGGTGGCGGGAGACCCCTCTTTGCTCTTAGCCACTGGGAAGCTCGTACCTGGGTCCACAGTCACTGTGATGCGCACGCCACCGTCGGAGCCCGCCTTCCGGATCCCGCACCAGTAGGTATCTGCGTCGTTGAGCTGGAGTTGCCTCATGGTCACGGTGAAGGCGTGTGCCCCCGGCTCATCCCTGATGGCCACGCGCTCGCCCTGTGCCTGGTGCTCAGAGTCCCCCGAGGTCTGCACCAGGACCCTGCAGGTGTCCCAGTGGGCCCCGCGGCACCACAACTTCCCGTGGGACTCCCATCTGGGGCTGTAGGGGCACTGCACTTCCAGTGAGCCCCCTTCAGCGACCCTCACACTCCTGGGGCTTCGGGTGCAAAAACAGCCTGTGAACACACGTGGGAGATGCAGCATCTGCCCGGCCCCCCTTCTCCAGCTCCCTCCCCAGATGCTCAGAACCGGATGGGGTGGCCCCCAAAATGCCCCCAAACTGACTACCGGCCTCCACCTTCTCTGGGTCCCCAGTGACTTAGGGCCCCTGGTCCTTGTTGGTGCCCAACCAGATCATGAAGATGAGTCCTTGGATGCTGCCCTACAAGCAGGAAGCAGAACCAGGAATCCACTTTGAACTAAGCGGGCAAACCTACGTTTGTGAGTCCCATTGATATAGAAAAGGCCAAACTGACTCTCTGTGGCCAGCAAGTTCCCACAGTACAAAGAAGCAGCTTCCCCTTCTCACTTATCTTAGACCTAGCTAATCTTTAGAGGTAAACATCCTCTCTGGTTTATCACAGACCCCAGGTGTGAGGAAGTGTGACCTATGGAGCCTAGTTTTCTTCCTCGAAATTGTAACTGACCATGTTTTCCTTCCTGTAACTGACCATGTTTTTTTTTCCCTGGACATTGTAACTGTTTGCCTCTTAAACAGGATAAAATAAGGTATATTTTGATACATGCTCATCCCGTACCTCCTTTTCTTATTTTGAGCCTTCCTACTCTGTTGGATTTCATTGGATGTGTTTAGAATAAGACCACAAATAAAAGGAGGTTGAGAAGGGCTGATCTTGGTGATAAGATCTGAACGAGTCAGTCCTGTGATCCTCTGTGAAAAGTGATTTCTTTCGTGTTTCTTGTCTCAGAGCCTGGGACTTCCTAGCCAAACATTTGTACAACAGTCTTCTTCCTGGATGTATCCCCTTCTGATTTTCTGGCGTATACATGGGTCTCATCTAATACTTGACTGATCTGGTCACAGAATCCACTTCTGCTTTTAATTCAAATTTGTGCTGTTGGTAAATACCTCACAGCCCCCAACATTATGGGGGGAGTCTCTGATTTTGCCACAATCTTGCCAATTTTCATGTATTTTTTTTTCTTGTGGGGGGGCCGATTAGCATGCTCTGGGAGAAGCTTGGAGGCCTTCCTGAAGGTGGTGAAGGCTATCAGTGTCATTCTCAGCCGTGCTCTGACGGCCTAGAGGTGCCAGGGGCTGGCCCAGGGCCTGTGTGTGCCAGTCATGTGCTCTGAACTGCCTTTGCAGTCCTGTTTCCGTCACTGGCAGATTTCAGGTTCTCTTGCAAGGGTAAGGAGTGTGTGGGGGGTGTCCTATGTGCCTCTGTGCACCCATGGAGCTAGCACGTGACCACTGTATTTGTGGCGACACTGTATTTGTCCCTGTATTTGTGGCCCTTTGCTATTTTTTTGCAGGGTGATCACCCAGGTGATGTTCAGGAGGATGTGGGGGGGCTTCTGAGTCAGTGATTCTTGGCTAGAGGATGTGGTGCTGGGGGCTTCGGGGGTCACCTGATGGTGTGGGGGTTACGGGGGTCACCTGGTAGGTCACCGGCCTCCAGGGTGGGTCTGTCGGTGCTCAGGGAACCACGTGGTGCCGGGACTGAACCCGGGCTGGGCACGTGCTAGGCTGTATGTCTCCTCTGCTGGTGGCCCTGAGTCTTCGTAGTTGCCACCAGCAGGAGCAACTTCATGCTTTCAGCCGCCACCGTCTCAGTCTTGCCCCACAGTGACAGGCAGGAGCCGGTGTGGGAGCTTCTGATGGGGCACCCAGCACCTTTGCTGCCTGGCCAGGCACCAGAGTGGCCTGCCAGCTCCTCGGGGGCCTGCTGGGAGCGTTTCAGACACTATAAGACCCTTCCTGCGGCCCTGCTTTATTTTGAACTGCATCTGCATACTTTGAATATACTTTGGATATACTTTGAACGGCACTGTATACTTCCCAATTCCCCTTCCTCTCCCTTCCCTCCCTTAATGCTTCAGTGACCAGGGCTCTGCCCCTCCCTGGTGGTGGGTTAGGCTCCTGGTCACAGCACCTGTTTGTATGTTTGTAAATTCACTTGTACACACCTATCTGTATATGCATGTCTACATGTAATGGATGTCTACCTGTACACCTATCTGTACACCTGCGTGTATATCTACCAGTACACCTTGTACTTCTACAAATACTTGTACAACTGCTTATACATATTCTTGTACACCAGCCCGCCAAGGTTGTCATTCATAAAATAACTTCAGTCATACCTGGTGCTAGTCAGGGGCTACTGCCAGCTAGGTTATTGGGGGGTCTCTCCTCGGATGCTTCAGGGACGAAGTGGTAGTGGGACCTGGGAATCAAACCCACTGCTCTGGTCCATGACACCTGTCAGGGGCCCCCCTCTTTGGTCACAGGACTCTTGCACATTTGGGTAATTGGGCAAGTCCGGGCTATCCCTTCAGGCTGTGTAGAATTTCACAAGATGATGTGAGGGAAGTGAGGGGGGCCAGCTGCCCAGAGGGCTGCGGGGAGGAAATTCTAGAGAATAGGGCTGCGGGTTTCCAGAGCTGGAGGCAGGGGCTGGCCAGTGGGAGATGAGGCTTCCTCCCAGGCACCCTGCATCCTGAACAGCAGTCACGGGCACAGTGCAGCTCCCGATGTGTGCCTCTCTGCCCATGTCCAGGGATTCTGTGCTGCGTGCATGGGAGGGGCTGCACGTGTGCACGTGGGTGTGGACATAGCGTGGGTGTGCTTAGAGCTGCGTGCACGTATATGCACGGGTATGAGAGTCTAGGCGAGGGCCTGGGTGAGGTGGAGGGGGTATGCAGAGCTGTGTCTGGGCGGTGTGATTGTGTGGGGGCTGGGAACTGTGTTGAGTGCTCGAGGTTGTGTGTGTGTGTGTGTGTGTGCGTGTGTGCACGTGCGCGCATGCCCCAGGCGTGATTGCTCCGCCCCTGCCTTAGGGGGTGTATGTGGAACTAAGGGAGCAGAGGGGTGGGGTCCCTGAGCCCAGGCGGGGCTGCAGCCTGGGAGCCTCCCTGACATGACAGTCCCCCTTGGGGCTCCAAGGTCGGAAATCGCCAAGGACCAGGCCGGAGAGATAGAACATCGATGAGGGTATTTGCCTGGCATGCAGCTGACCCGGGTTCAATCCCAGGCATCCCACATGGCCTGGTGAGTAATCCCTGAAGTCAGAGCCAGGAGTAACCCCTCTAGCACCACAGTGTGGTCCCCAAACAAAAACAATAGAAATCCACCAAAGCAGGCCAGTTCCGGAGTGTCCTGCCCTCGTCCTGAAGAGGAGACCCTCATGGGGCCAGAGCTAGGAAAATGACGAGGGGCTCTGGCAGCTGTGGTATGGTGCTTCAGCTCCAGAAGTGCCTTGGCAGCCCCTGTCTGCAGGACGGTCACTGAGAGAGGATGGCGGGACCCATCCCTCCCACATACTGCCAGCTTCCCATTGCCCCTGAGCGTGTGTGGGGTGGTGGGTGCCAGGATGAAAGAAGCACACCCTCTCCCACCTGGGTCCCCGGCAACCTTCTCCCTGCAACCCCCAGCTCCTGGTCTGGTACTGGTGGCGGTCAGTGTGGCCGCTGGCCTTGCTGATCTCACCCAGCAGTTGGCGGGGGCGCCCAGCCCAGGGTGAGTCAAACTTCCCACTTCAGGGAATGCACTTCCATCTCTTGGAGATTCGCCCTGTGGCTGGCTGGGGGTTAGTCCTGCTAACCCCTGCTGGGTGCTCTACTCTGCCCCTGCCATCACTGTTTATGGCTGGGTCCCGCCCTCAGCGTTGTGATAGTCCTGTGGCCAAACTGCCTTTATGTTCTCTGCCCTGTACGTCCCCTGGGTCCTGAAACAGGCAGGTCTTGCCATGCAGTTCTCCAAGCCACCCTCATTTTAGAGCTCTGTGCCCTTTGTCCCTGGGACAGCACAGATGCCCTCAGCCAGGATGAAAAATGTGGACCTTCAGTTCCACGACCTTCTCCCTCCTGGCAGCCCCCAGCTCCAGCCTGGTGTCCAAGGCCATCATCGCCTTTGGCCTTGTTGGTGTCACCTGGCCAGTTGGCCCCAGGTTCCCCGCCCCTGTGCTCCCGAGACCCCAACTGACTCACCTGGGAGGCTGAGAAGGAGAAGAACGGGGGATAGCCACAGGCCTCTGTGTCCCTGCGCCATCCTGGCTCCAGCTGCTACCAGCCGAGACCCCTGGGTCCATCGGCCTGCACTGGCATGGCCTCTGCTTGTGTGGCGGGCCTCTGGGGTGGCTTCTTTTTATAGACGAGGATTTACTGCCCAGTTATTCATCCCAGAGACTGTCATTTCTGGGCGGGACTGGGTCCCAGGGCCCTGGAGTACCCACTCAGTAGTAAAGAGGAAGTAAGGGCTCTGCACTAGGAGGCGGCTGGGGAAGTGGCGCCTGGCCTTATCTGGGTGTTATCTGGTTGATGTTAGCTCCGGAAGTGGCTATCTACGATGCAGTCTCTACGCAGGACACCTCCAGCTCCCCAGGTGCCCACACGTTGGTGGAGGAGTGGTAGCCATGGATAGGCTGTGGGTCAGCCATGCGTGGACTGCAATCCTGAGCGCTGCTTCCAGACTGTAGGTGACTTAACTTCCCAGGCCTCAGTTTTTCTACCTGCCAAATGAGTCCATGAGAGCCTCAGAGAATTGAATGAGAAAGTGTTTGTGAAGGCTTGGGGAGAGAGTCCTGGGGGGAGGTTAGCTCTGGTCTTGTAAATCAGGGCCAGAGACCTAGTACAATGGGGAAGGCACTTGCATTGCATGCAGCCAGCCTGGGTTGGAGCCCCAGCACCCCATATGGTCCCCCAAGCTCTGCCAGGGAGTGACCCTTGAGCACAGAACCAGAAACGAGCCCTGAGCATAGCGGTGTGTGGCCCATAAACAAGAATAAAGAACCCAGGCTGGAGTGATAGCACAGTGGGTAGGGCATTTGCCTTGCAAGCTGCCAACCCAGGTTCAATCCCCAGCATCCCATATGGTCCCCCGAGCACCGCCAGGGGTAATTCCTGAGTGCAGAGTCAGGAGTAACCCCTGAGCATCGCTGGTTGTGACCACCCCTCTCCCCCACCCCCCAAAAAATAAAAAACCCAAACACAACACAACAAACAAGAGAAACCCAGGTACTTCCTGGGTGAACAGAATAAAGAAGCAGTGAGCACACAAGTGCAAGGGGATTGTAAGATCCTGTCCCACTGCAGGAGCTGGGTAGAGCAGGAGTCCCAAGACCATGTGGCAGGGGCTGGAACACTAGGCTGGGTCCCTTGCTCTAGGACAGTCATAGAGACTGAATCTCTAGCACTATCAGCTCAGTCTCATTGCTAAGTGACACATGAGTCTCTGTTCCCGGAACGCCGATCTCTCTAGAATCCATTCCTTCTTTCCTAGGAGGACCACAGCCAGCAGTGCTCAGGGGGACCCCAGAGTCTCCCCCAGGGTTGCTCAGGCTTGTGAGGTGCCAGGGACTGACCACACACCCCCATATCTAGTACTTGCATCTTAGTCCTGTCCCCTAAAATCTGAGGCTGCCCTGACCACGTAAGGGGCTTATGGGCAGGATGACAATCTGTGGTTTCGGAAAAGCCTCTCCTTTCTGCGCTCGAGTAGGGCTCTGGACTTGGAAGCACAGCGCTGATTGGACACTTGGTTACCGAGGCAATAAAAGAAATAGGAACGAAGATAGGAGACGGGGTGTGTATGTGTGTGGGGGGGTAGGTGGGTGTGGGTGGGACCTTCACTACAGCGCCCACAAGGAGCGCAGACGGTTGGTGACTCAACGGCACTCCATGGGCAAATGATGAGGACTCCCTTGGGTTGACGTGGTCCACTCTGTACTAGCTCAGCTCTGAAAGGCACAAATGCTGAGCATCGTTCCAAACGTCCTGTAAAAGGATCCCGTTTAAGATAGTAAGAACCAGGGCTGGAGAGGGGGAAAGGGATAGGGCTGCTTTGCACGCAGCTAGCCTAGGCAGGTTTAATCCCTGACACCATATAGGCTCTTGCAACCCTTGCTGGGCGTGATTCCTGAGCACAGAGATGGGACTCAGCCCTGAGCACTGCTGGGTGTGGCACATAAAACAAAATAAGCATATCAAATGAATAAAATAAACTGGTAAGAACCGAAGATGCCCAGAAGTAAATAGGTGAATGTGTGGATTAAGTGGTGTGGGGAGGCATCCCAAGCAGTGTTCAGGGAGTCCTGGGTGTGCTCCAGGCTTGGGCTCAACAGTGTTGGGGCAGCAGGACCACCCCAGAGATGCTGGGGGTCATGGGTACAAGCCCACACCCCAGTTCCCCTGCATGGAGGTCCACGCAGGCCCCGGCTTGGAGTCATCTTCCCTGTCTGTGAAGAAATTTTGTTCACTTTTGTTCTGGGGTCACACCCGGTGGTGCTCAGGGCCTAATCTCGGCTCTGTGCTCATGAGAAACCCCGGACAGTGCTCAGAGGGCCATAATCAGGTCCTGGGATCAAACCTGGGTCTCGGCCCACACAGCCACAGGCAAGGCCAGGGCCTTTCCTCCTGTTCTATCCCTCCGGCCCCTGGTGAAGGAGAGAAAATGATGCTGATAAAAGACATTTAAATCATGTAGAATCTGGCACAGTATTCATATGTATATTCTCTGCCCTCCATATATGTGCATATAATGTCTAATATGACAGACTATGATCATGTATGTTTAACCTGCCTCTATACACACATGTCTATATTGTGGCACTGTACCCACATATACATGTGTAACCCAATATTGTGTACACACATGTATGTACACTATGATACCCTACATGAATTTGGACGTACAACCAAACACAATAAGCGCTTGTGTGTATAGCATGATACTGTACACACAACTGTAATTTGATCCTGCATGCACACGGATATGTATAATCTCACAATAATCATGAATGTACATCCTGACACACTTCTCACATGTATATGTATAACATGGCACTGAATGATACATATGCAAAAAATGGCAGGTGTAGCATATATAGTCTGACACTATACTCACATTCACATGTATAATATGACACTCTAATAGATACAGAACTTGATGCTGAATGACATATATGTCAACAAGTATATGACACCATGCACAAGTGTAAATGTACAGTCGGACACTCCACACCCATATATGTGTGACACTGTACACATGCATGCAATGCTGTGCTGTGACAAAGCATGACAATAACAAGGCAAGGGTGCACGTCCCTCAGAGAGGAGCTCAGCGTGTATTTATTCTCGGCTGCACATGTGGTGCGAGGTCAGGGTCCGGCTTTAGTGCACATGCGGGCTGGGGGGTCCAGCTCTAGTGTCCGTGCGGGGTAGGGGTTCTGCTCTAGTGCATGTACAGAGTGGGGGTCCGGCTCTCGCTCTGCAGTTTCCTTCCGGCGGGTGAGTCACGCCCACGATAAAACCAGACGTCCAGGAAGGATTCTGGGGCGCGTGGCTGGGCTTCACCGCTGGGTCCTCACACATGCCTCCTGGTCATCACATGGTGCTCTCCGCCTGTTGTGGGGCCTCTCTGTGGCCAGCTCACCCAGAGGACGGCCCCCATCATGCCCAACAGTAGAGGCACCTTTAGGAAGATCAGGAGCAGGAAGTGGATGCTGCTGAGCAAGGACCTGAGGGGACACCGGGACAGTGAGCGCCATCCTCAGGGACACCTGGAGCTCTTCACCGGGCCCTCTGGGCTGAAGCCACACAGGCCCATGGAGAGGTCAGCGCTGGGTAGAGTGGCCGCCTGGGCAACTCCCTGTCCCTGCTTGATGATTGCTCGAGATGGGGGCCACGAAGGGCGTGGTCATTGGCTCAGAGTGGAGGACCCAGACACACTTCCAATTTGTTCTGCAAAACTGAAGGAACCAGCTGGGGGAGGGACTCACCCCAAGGGCCCTTTGCTTGTCTCTGGCAATGTCTGACCCTCCATCACAGCGGGCAAGAGTCCCCAGTCCCCCAGTCAGCAGTGACCACTTCTTTCAGGCCCAAGTGCCTGGCAGGGTTTGGGGGACAGTGTAGGGACTGAGCCCAGGGCTATGTGCTGCCTGGCTCTGGGGTTGCTGAGGGCTTGTTCCACAGGATCTAGTGATATCTGTCCCCTCTGGGGACCATTTCTGAAGCTGCCTGAGAACCGGGTCCAGCAGGCGCTGCTCAGATTCTCTGTCCCTGCTGGTCGTGCCTGAGCACTGTCCCCATGCCTGTCACCCCTGAGTTCTCATTACCCGTTCCCTCGACAGCTGTCCTGGGATCTCCCTCTCAGTCACCAGGGTCTGTTCACGGACCCCCGAGATCAGGCTATCATCTGTCAGGACAGGGCAAGGGATCATGAGCTGTGCAGCCGGACCATGGTAAGGGGCAGATGGATGGAGGGACACTCACCCTCTGCCGCTGGCCTCTGGGTCATTATTGGGGGGCAGGTCTGGGGGTTCCTTCCGGGTGAGCTCGGCTGGTTCCAGCTGGGGTCCTGGGGTGGTGGAGGCAGCATGGGAGGCTGTCGTGAAGGCTGAGAGAAGCATTGATCACACTGGGTCATGCCTCATGACACGTCAATGCATGGCTTACACAAGGTCCCCGGGGTCTGTGGGCATGGCCTAAACCCCACACACCCCATGGCCGCCTCAGAGAGGAACTGATAAGAAAAAAAGATAAGCCCTGTTCCATATGATGTTGGGGTGCAATGAAGTCACACCCTGAGATTCCCCGCTTCGATGGATCCCTGACCCTTCTGATCTTGGAGTTCAGGCTCACTGTGACCAGGACCTGCTGGCGCCCCTACAGTGCTGAGGGGCCTAGTAACGGCAGCCCCTCTCAGGCTGGACGCCCCCTCTGTCTGCCGTGATGGCCACGGGGCCACCGCACCTCCTTCTCAGGCGAAGGGGAAGACCAGAAAGAAAGATTTAGAAGGCCAGAGGCACGTACAAGGGGTTGGGCACTTGTTCGCACATGGCTGACAGGGGTTTGACCCCTTCAGTCCCTACAAAGGTAGTCACTGAGCAGAATCAGAGCAGCCCCAAAACAACCTTGAGTGTCCAGCGTATCCCAATAAACAGAAGTGCTCTGGAGACCCCCAGCTGGTGCCCAGCGGGCCAGGCCCAACTCAGTGTGTTGCTGGACCCCAGCATCTCTATGACCGAGTCTGTGTTTTCCCGGGTCACCCTC